TCCCACTGAATATCAATTCAGTATTTATTCAGTATCATGAACATAATTTATTAAATATGACACCATCCATAAGGTTCTTTATATTGATCTGCTTATGTATTTATGAATGCATTTGCTTTTGTTTGTAGGGCAGAGACATTAGCTGTTGAAATTAAAGACTTTCAAGGACAACTAGCAGACTACAACATGGTATTGTCTCTTTCCTCAGAGAATTTCTCCTGATGCTTGTTTTTGTGCTCTTGACACTTAAAAATACATTTTAAATACCAAATAATACACAACTATATATATATATATGTATATATATATATATATATATATTTCTTGTGAAAAAGTTGGAAGTATAAAAATACAAAAATTAAATTGCTTTTTTCATTTCTCCTTCATTTCCTTCCCCAGAAATAACTTGGCTTAACAGATTAATAGGAATTCTTCCAATTTTGTTTGCATTATAAAAAATATTTATTTTACCTACTATTTATTTATTTGTAATTTTGTGTGTGTGTGTGTGTGTGTGTGTGTGCACGTGTGCGTGCGTGCAGGCACATTCATGGAAGTCAGATGACAACTTGTGTAAGTTACTTCTTTTCTACCATATGGGTCCCCCAAGAATCAAATACAGGCCACAAGCCTTGGTAGAAGCTTTACCTGCTGTGCCATATTGCTAGCCTCATTTTTTTTTTTAAAGACACTTATAAATCACACAAAAGCTTTTCTCCCCTACAAATGTTTGAATAATATTTTTTTAAAGCATTACAATTTATTAGGTAAGAATGATTCCATTGCTTTAAAAACACCTTTACCTTGATATGGAGCATTGTCATCATGAAATTTAAATTCTTTACCTAGCATACAGATTACCTCCATCTGAGTGTTCAATTTTGTGTGCATTCTGTCAAAACAGAGTACACTCATAAAAATAGTTCCACTGAGGATGTTTCCCAGTGCAGACTATCACCTTGGCAATGCTGTTAACTCCTTGTCCTTGGAGTAATGCTACCTCCAGGAAGTTTCTAGCATCAGAATTTCTTTCTAATTCCTGAGGCACATTAAACAATTATGGCATGACTAGCTTTTGTCTCCGCTGTTGATTAGGTAAATTATGATATAACTAGTTAATATTCACTTACAGTGAAATTTTGCTAATTAGAATATTTTGTAGTTCTTAAATTTTCTGAGCACATGCTCTATAAAAACACCTTGAGACCAATATTAATTAGAATTTTTTTTAGTAAGTGTTGTTTTCTACTGTTTATTGTTTTAAAGATTTTGCTTTACTTCTAATTATGTGTATATGTGTATGCACATGAGTGCCATTACCCGCAGAGGCCCAAAGGAAATAATAATGTTGATTCCCTGGAGACAGTTAGAGGCACTTAAAGCTGCTTGGTGTGGGTGCTAGGACCTGAACTCACATCCTCTGTAAGAGCAGGACATTCTCTGACTTAAGAATTAGATTTACTAGTGTTCTGTTTTATAAAATAAATTTATGGGAAATAAACTTGTTTTGCCTTTTCACTACTATAAATTTCTAAAACAGTTAATGTTTCCAGGAGGAGAAAAATTCAAGTGGCAGATAATTTCCAACGCTGCTTTTTTCTGTTTCAGACCTTTATAAACTTGGTCATTTCAAAGCAGAGAAAACTCTTCAGTGTTCTGAAAGGAACAGTAATTCATCACTTCTCATTTACTGGCCAAATGAAGAGTATGTTAGGTTTTCAATATTATTTTTTAATGTGGCTCACTATTTTTTTTTTTTGGAAAGTAAGACACTTGATAGTATTAACACTGAAATGACTAGCTATTTATGAAAATAGGTATGTATATTAAAACTTACCTAAAATTTATTAAGGCTAACCAAATGGTGCTTTTTTTGTTATATTTTTGCTTTTAGTTGGTAGATAAACTCAATACCAATACTGAAATGGAAGAAGTTATGAATGATTACAACATGGTAAGAAAATATACAAATATAAGTAATAATTGTATATAAATCATATCCTCTAAAATAAAGCATTTAGCTAGAAATAATTTGGTAAAACCTTTTATGGCCATTAAAGGTGGTTATGACTCTGATCATAAGTATCACAATTATGATTAAGCACTTTTTATTGTTTTTTATATCCTTGTTGCTGTTGGAGTAAATATTTTAACATCTGTCAATAACGCTAGGGAAGAACCATCTATATTGATTGAATATATATTAATAATATTTTGGTTCATAACTTCTTTTTTTAAAAAATGTTTCCTTAGGTTTTAATTTTTTTACAAATGGAATTAAAATTCAATGGAAATGATATCTTTAAAAGTTTTCTTATAGTTTTTTTTTAAGTTAATTAAAGGGTGTGGATGTTTTATCTGCCTATATGTCTATGCCCTGAGCCCTCAGAGGCCAGAGAAGGCATCAAATTGCCTGGGACAAGAGTAACAGATGGCTTTGAGCCTCCACAGGGTTCTAGAAAATGAACACAAGTCTTATGGAAGAACAACAAGTGTTCTTAACTGCTGAGCTATCTCTCCAGCACCTCAAACTCTGCCTACCTCTGCTTCTTAAGTGCTGGGATTAATGGCATGCCCCGCATCATCCTGGCTATAAAAAATCCAGGATTTTTAAAATGAGTTCTAAATTTGGGGTTCTACAATAATTATTTTTAGTTTTACAAACTTAGAAATAAATTTTATTGCTAGAAATAAATAGAGGAAACTTTGAAAATTATTTGTCAAATATAATAATGAAATATTTGGAAGAGAAATAGAATTCCTCTGTTAGTTAGAAACCAAGGAGTGTCTTTCCCCACCTATCATTAATACTTCTCTACATAACTTTCTCAAATATGGCAGCCTCTTCCTTATACAAAGAATGCCAAACTCTTGAAATGTTTTCTTGCTTCCTTTCCTCCCTTTTCCTTCCTTCTTTGAAACCATTGAGCACATTTATGCCATTTACTTACTGTTTACAAGATTCTCTTTTAAGTACTAAAAAAAGTATATGCAAACATATAAGTTTGTAGCTCTGAATGCTTCAAAGAATTTAAAACCTATGTGTCCCTATGTCGTTATCTCAGAAGTTATGCTAATACCCAAATTGTATGTATAAATTTTACAGTTATATGTTTTAAAAGTATATATTCTAGAAATAAAAAGTAAAAGATTTGAAAAGTATTTGGTCACTAGCTTAATCTTGTCTGTGTATTTAGAGGAACTAAGGAAGGCCATTCATATTGACAACATGGAAAAAGCTTCCATTTTTGCCATCATTTAGTGTGATTTGAGTCTCTGGTTTGTTATGGAAAAGCTGTCTAGTATAAGCTGGTTGTAGGTATAGGAAACTTTGAAAATTATTTTTTTATTTATTTGGGGTGGATCCAGATTCAGGTCTGTGTACATAACAGTCATTTAGGAGTACTTACGAAATCATGAAAGATTTAAGAACAAAATTATGTTGATTCTAAATTCAGCATATGACTAATCAAGTATTTATTGAACATAGTGTGTTTTTGAAATGGTTTTTACATAAATTAATTTTAATTTTAATTATTGGACAGATCACTAAAGAAAAATGAATTATTTTGATGAGAACTTATGTCAATATAAAGGACTAAGTTAACTGGTAGTGTTCTTTGTTAGATGAAAGATGCATTTTTCTTCTAATTTTTGTATTTGGCATTATTATAATAATCTCATGTAGTTCATAACTAGAGTAACCTTTCCAAAGAGAGTTTGGTTTGATGGTTATCTTTTTTAATGACTAACTTCTATGTTAACTGTTTGCACAGCTTAAAGCTCAGAATGATCGAGAAACACAGAGTATGGATGTCATATTTACTGAAAGACAAGCGTAAGTTCAGATTCATAAATGAGTTTTGGTAGATGGTTTAACTTGTGAGTCATTTATTTCCTTATAAAATTTAACTTTTTCTTAATTTGCTCTTAATTAATTAATTGTTGGATTCTTATGAAGCAACATCTTAATTGTAGTGTAGGCTACCTCAAGCTGACAAGAATCTTTCTGGCTTAGCCTCCTGAGTGCTGGGACTACAGATAAGATCCACACCTGGGCTGAGCGTGTTAGAGCACAACTTTAATCCCAGCACTTGGGAGGTAGAGGCAGGTGAATCTCGTAAGAGTTCAAGGCCAGCCTGGTCTACAGAGTGAGTTCCAGGACAGCCAGAGCTGTTTCACAGAGAAACTTCATTTCAATAAAGCAAAGCAAATCAAAACAAACAAACAAACAAAAAGAACCACAACTGGCATCTTACTGACCTGTTACAAGCATATATTTGTAATAGAAAATGTGTCATTTTTTCTTGATTTAACATAACATCTCAATACAAAATCTATTTTAATGTCAAGGAACTGAATAGTATACAAAAGAAAGAACTACCCAATTGTATAAATATGATTTCTGCTTCCAACAACTTAAACTGTAAGATGAATTATGTCTTTATGTCTACTCTTAGAGTTTGACTGAGACTTTTAACTAGTTTGACATTTTAATTCTACTTTAATGGAAGCAGTTATTAGTCAGTAGGCTTTGTACATTAACTGACATTATGGTAATTATATTCTCTATGATAATATAATTCTCACAATATATAATACTCTATGCTGCCTATAGATTATATGTGAATTTATACATAACTTATTTATAAAGACTAAATATGAACTAGTTTTGATTTCCATAATAAAATGTAACAGTAATCCCTACAAAGATAATAAATGTGAATTAAAATAATTTTTAAAATTAGTTTTGACCAGTATCAAATATTTCAGCATATGGTAAGGTAAATGTAAAAGTTGAGCTATGGTGTATAAACACATGTATAGCATTCTGTTCCAGAAGCTTACTACTGTTAATTTGTTTGAGAGCAAGGTTAGTTATTAACCAAAATTACTGAAGTTTATTAACACTAAATACACTCCCATGTTACTTCTGCAGTAAACAACCTGATGAAGAAAGTATATGCAAACATATAAGTTTGTAGCTCTGAATGCTTCAAAGAATTTAAAACCTATGTGTCCCTATGTCGTTATCTCAGAAGTTATGCTAAGACCCAAATTGTATGTATAAATTTTACAGTTATATGTTTTAAAAGTATATATTCTAGAAATAAAAAGTAAAAGATTTGAAAAGTATTTGGTCACTAGCTTAATCTTGTCTGTGTATTTAGAGGAACTAAGGAAGGCCATTCATATTGACAACATGGAAAAAGCTTCCATTTTTGCCATCATTTAGTGTGATTTGAGTCTCTGGTTTGTTATGGAAAAGCTGTCTAGTATAAGCTGGTTGTAGGTATAGCCTCAGCAAATGATTGCAACAATGTTTACATAGTAAATATATGATTTTGAGTTATCTTTCTAGTTTGGCATTAGTCAAAATCAGTTGTCCTTTAAAAGCATATTAGTCACAATTTTATGTTCATTTATTCCTCCTCAGTCAGATATTTACTAACTACCCAATAATAAAATGTTGGATGTAAGAGATCAAGTATAATCTGGGCTTATTTATAATTTTATACTATTTCCCAAAAATTAATTTTTAGATCTTAGAAGGAAATGTTATTTAAGTAGAGTGATAGATTATTTAGATAAAGATGCTTTATGTTTTAAAATTGATACTTAAATAATTTATAATTCATAAGATTAGATATGTTTATATTCTTTGTGTTACTATAAATATAATAAAATATGTATTAACACAAATAAGTCATTTGGTTCAAGGGATATATTTTATTTTCCATCTGTGAACATTCCAACTGAATGTACTATTTATATAACCTTTAAAATTTTTTATTTATTTATTTATTATGTATACAATACTCTGTGTGCATGTCTGAAGGCCAGAAGAGGGCACCAGACCCCATTACAGATGGTTGTGAGCCACCATGTGGTTGCTGGGAATTGAACTCAGGACCTTTGGAAGAGCAGGCAATGCTCTTAACCTCTGAGCCATCTCTCCAGCTCCCACCTTTAAAAATTTCTAAATTTATTATTGTGTGTGTGTATGTATATGTGTGTTGGTACACTTGTAACGTAGTGTACATGTGGAGCTCAGAGGACAACTTGATTCTCTCTGTCCATCATGTTGGTCTGGGGATTGAACTCAGATTGTCAGGCTTTGGTGCATGGAAGTTGAATTGCTGAGCTATCTTATCGGCACTGTTTATATAACTGATCTACATTACTAGTCTTTTGTAAGATGTTATCATGTACATTTTTGGGATATCTTTATTAACTAGAAATTGGAACATCAGAATTGGAGCATTGTATGCCCATGTATCTAATTCCAAGTTTTGTCAGCACATTTCCAGCTGTGCTCCATCTTCAACTCTAGCCACTGTCCTCTTCTGTGTATGTGGATGACGAAAATCATAGAAAATATGTTACATATTTCATCCACAAGTAAAGTTCAAAAGTTCAGTGTTTTGCCATAGCCTTATCTCAAAAATAATCAGATAAATACATTGAGTTTCCCACATATAGAATGGTAAATCACAGACTTTGCTAATTTTTGGTTGCACTCTTTAAACTGGTAAGTGGTTCAAATTATATTGGCAGCTAATCCATTATACGAGGATTGGTAACCATTTTGCTTTAGATAGACCCTTTCTATTTAGGGCTAGTGTTTCCAGAATGTGTCCTTTGGTCTTTTAATGTGCTGTGAGCTTTTAGCTATATTTCCAAGGAAGGGTTTGATTGTCAAGTAAATTTTAAAGTTTCTTTGTGTGTATGTGTGTGTACATATATATGTATATGTGGGAGTAAAAACCCAGGGTCTTCCACATGCTATGTATATGCTCTTCAAAACTCAGTATTTTACTCTGAGTTAACAGAGAACACCTCAGTTTAGTAAAGTCTATATCAATACTAAAGGAAAGATTCTTAGTTCATCTTGTTTAAATTCAGATTCTTTTGGTAAGTTGACTAGGTAACTTTTTCTTTTTCTGTAAATGCTTGTCAGTGTCATTGTGGAAAATCAGTGTTTTAGAAAACATTTTTTTAAAAAAATTTTTTGGTTTTTCGAGACAGGGTTTCTCTGTATCTTTGGTGCCTGTCCCGGAACTAGCTCTTGTAGACCAGGCTGGCCTCGAACTCCCAGAGATCTGCCTGCCTCTGTCTCCCAAGTGCTGGGATTAAAGGCGTGCGCCACCACCGCCCAGCTAGAAAACAATTTGGGAAGCATTGCTCTGTTTATTGAAACACAAACAGATATGTGTGGATTACCTAAGTATTCCTCAGCTCTAGCTGAGAATAATTTGAAAAATAATCTCCCAAAAGAGATACAGAAATGTGTGTTTTAAAAGAAAATTCATGAGTAGTTGTGATGGCCAGTTTAGAAGCCATTGCAATATTGAGTATAGCAATTGTATGTGGAACCCTTCCTAAAAAATCACTGTCAAAATCAGTAGTGATTATTAGGCATTATTCCTAAATATTGTGCCTATGCTTTAAATTGCTGCCAGTTTTTAAGGAAACTGTTTTTTTAGGTTCAGGCAGCATTAAAAAATATTCTCCATTCAGTGGATTCATTTGTGAGCATTAGACTAATTTCTGTAGTCAAAGATCCTCACTCTGATGATATAAATCTAAATTTTATATTTCTTTATTGGTTAAAATTTTAGTATAATCTCAGACATTGCAGCACATGCATTTGTTAATACCAGCATCTGTTCATTTTAGTTAGTAAATAATCATTCTTGGGCTTTGTTTTTTACCAGTTTGTGGTTTTCCGAATACTCCTGACACTAGTAAGTGGTGGTAGTGTAGATAAATTATTCAGCTTTTAGCTAACCAGAGTATAAGTTACTGCATTTGGACTTGCTTGTGCAATACAGCAAAAAAATTATATGATATTTACATAAGGTACTGATTAATATGATGGTCTGCTTGTTAAAGTTTTTTTTGCAAATAAAAATCTTTTTGTCTAAGCTATAAGTAGACTAAAAATATTTTTTCAAATTTTCAACATGATAAATTATTTTTCTTCTTGTACCTCATTGATATCGATGTATCTGTCTTCAATAAAACCATCATCATTCTCCACAAATGAATGCAGTTGTTCGAATATTACTGTAATGTCTTCAGAGTTTGTATCTGTTATTTGTGAAAGGGAGCTTGGGTTTCTAGTAAGGCCGTTGTCGTAGGTTTCCGCTTCATGCTCTTCCAGGCGATGATGATTGTAACTAAGCAGAATATTATACCATATTGGACACTTGATAGCAATAAAGATGAGGAGTGACGTCAGCAGTACAGTGACGACAACGCCAACAAGGAGAGCCCAGCTTTTTCCAAGAGGTTCATGTTCTTAAATAAAAGAGAGAGAGAGATTTTGTTGACAAAAGCCAAACAGCGTTAGAAAGGAACATACTTTACAGTTTTTTTTGAATTAAAATTACTAATACACTAAAGAAAACTATGGTCAAAGAACATTGTTTTCAGAATGGCTAAAGGTTGAGGAATCCTAGTTTAAAAACCCAAGATGCTCCAAAATCTAAAACTAACTCATTGAGCACTAACATGATCTCACAGGTGGAAATTCCATAACAGTCCTCAAGGGACAGGCCACCGTAAAAACGCAGATGCCCCAAAGTACTGTATAAAATTATCTTCAGACCACATGCATGTGGTATTTTTGACACATAAATGAATTTTGCGTATAGACTTGTATGTCCTCTCATGTTTTATGCAGTAGCCAATACTAAAAACCAGGTATTGTTACATGAAACCATTAACATACTTGTGAAGTGTGGTGTCTTGAGTAGTAAAATAGTTAGCTGACTAATACACAGTTTCATGTGAATGATATATAGTAGAGCCTCAGTTGGAATTCCAGTATTTTGTAAAGCTTCATTGAGATGAATTGTTCTTTTACATTGTTCATAGAAGCTCAAAATAGTGAAAGACAAGGAGAGCTGTGTGGTTAGTCGGACACATTCAGCAATAGTAGTGCTCAAAACCAGTACATTACCTGAGTTCCGTGTTACATTTTTGAAAGAGCTATTAGAAGTTGAATTCCCAATGGACGGAAAATCAATATACAGATCTTCAGTTATAGTGGAAATAAATTTCGAGTGGCATTCAGCAGTGAATGGTGCTGACTTAATGCTGTAGTGCTTTAGGTCATCTGGGTAGCTACACGTGGTGATGTTCTCATTCTCTGGTAAAGAAATAAATTAAGATGTATTATTGACAATAGAAGTGGCTCATAACATAATGTTGATATAGAAGTTTTGATAAGTCAGGCTTCATAGATAATAAGAAGGACTGGAAAGGTATCTCAGTAGTTAAAGTACTTGTTACTCTTGCAGAGAATCAGTGTTTAATTTCCAGCTTTCACATGGTTGTGCATGACCATCCTAACTCTAGTTCTGGGGGATCCAGTGCCCTCCTCTGACCTTTGCAGGTACCAGGTACACACATGGTGCACATACACTTAGAACACTTAAACACAAAATATAAAATAAATGAAACAAAAAGTTTATTATAAGAAAAGAACTCTAGATGAGTTTGTATATCAGCATGAGTGTTGATGCATATTCCTGTTATAGGTTAACTGAAGTTTTGTAGTTTGTATGTTAGAAAGTTTATGATTAAGATTATTGTTCTAATCTGGATCCCAGGCAGAGTATGATGTGCGGTTAACAAAATCAGACAACACCTTCAGTTCAAGCCCCAGTGCTGGAAAACAAATAACTAACCAACCAAAGGGACCTCTTTCTGTGTATTTTGTGGTATAGTACCCTAAAGAATAGACAGGAAGAACTTGAAGAAAAATTAATCTTTTCTTAAGATAGGATCTCACTGTGTAATCCTGGCTTGCCTGGAACTCAAAAGAATTCTTTCTGCCTCTGCCTACCAAGCTTTGGAATTAAAGGTATGCACTACCACACCTGACACGTAAAAATAACATTACGTAATGACTCTGCATGTTTAATACTACTTGCACATACCATTGTTTAAATTATCACCCTCTGCCAGGTAGGCTGAGCGCATGTCTGTTCTGCAGTTTCTTCCAGGTGGTGTTTTTGCTTTTTTTAATTTTTTGTTTTGTTTGGTTTGATATTGGTTTATTTTTAACTGTGCTAAAGATGAAGTTCAAGGCCTGAGTCTACCAATGAGCAGTACTTCCAGCCCAATCGTTTTCTTTTATCTATTCCAGTTCTGACATAAGCCATCAAAGTTCCACCATATTGTCTTCTTGCTTACCTAATATCACATTAGACGTGTTCAGCCAGTTCTGCAGCTGGAGTAGACCACAGGTGCAGTTCCATGGATTTCCATCCAACGTTAGCAGCTCCAGATGGAATCCTTGTGGCACATCAAAGTGGTTTATCAAGTTGCCTTGCAGATTCAGAACTCTCAGGTTGAATAGAGGTACAAATGTATTGGGATTCAGTTGTAATATTTTGTTTTGGCAAAGATATAACTGTTTTATTTTATTTAAGCCAACAAATGAGCCCTGTTCAATTACACTGATGGAATTTCCACAGATGTTTAAAATTTCTAGGTTGGAGAGATTACTGAAACTATTATTGTGTATGGCAGTAATGCTGTTTTCCATCAAGTAGAGCTCAGTGAGTAAAGAATACATCTGGAGCACCCTGATGTCTGAAGCATTCAGAGTGATCTGGTTAGAACTGAGATCAAGGATGGTAACACTGTTACTGATACCCTCTGGAATAAAGGAATAATTCCTTCTGGTGAAATTACATTTGACTTCCTAGAAAAGAAAAAAAATAGAAATGTTTTAATCAGGAAAAATTCTAACAGAAGAGATTAAAGTTAGCCAGGTGGTGGTGGCACACACGTTTAATTCCAGCACTCAGGAGGCAGAGGGAGGAGTACCTTTGTGAGTTCGAGGCCAACCTGGTCTACAAGAGCTGGTTCCAGGACAGGTACCAAAGCTACAGAGAAAACCCTGTCTTGAAAAAAAAAAATTCTAGAAAAAAATGATACTTTAATCTGAAAAAGAAAGAACAAACGTAGTTCTTTATGAAGATGAAATACTAAAGATTAAGGAATTCTGGTACAACCACCCAAGGAGAGTACTTTGTTTCATAGGTGTCTTCCACCTGTTCTATGTAAGCATTACAGAAAGAGTATTTCTCTATTTCTTTTATAGAATTATAAGGGAAATAGCAGTTTTGTTGACTTAGTTAATCAGGAATGTTGGCACATGCCTGTCATCCCTGCACTTGGGGAGAATGAGGCAGGAGACTGACAAGTTCAAGGCCAACGATGCTTTTTTTTTAAAATTAAAACAGACTAAAACCTTATTTGAGGTTAGCATGCAAGATAGATATATATGGGGAATTTGGAAGTTTGTGGAGATACCATCACATACCTAGAAATATTAGATAAATCAATGCCCAACAATCTCTGTTGGTATGACAGCACAACATTTTGATATTTTAAAAGTAAATAATTGTTTTCTATCAAATACAGAACCATGCTAGATGTGGTGATACACAGTTTTAAGCACAGGTAGAGGCAAATGGCTCTCTATAAGTTCAAGGACAGCCTGGTTTACATTGTTGTCTCAAAAAAATAAAATGATTATTGATGAGCTATAATAAAAGACATGATTCCCATATTAGTAACTATACATCGAATAAATAGTTCTTGCTAGGCCCTGCCATTGAAATAATGCAGTTGCTTGGTGGTAAATTGTATCAGTGAGCTTTTCTTACGTTTTATGATTTTTGTTGATTGACATGGGGGGTTGTTTGTTTTGATGTTGGTTTTGTTTGCAACAGGGTTCCAGTATATTGCATGAGCTGGCCAACTCCTGATCATCCTGCCTCATGCTAATACACTCTGGATTACAGGTATATGTCAACACAAATGACTTAGTTGCTAAAATTTCTTTTTGGCAGAATTGGGATTGATCCCAGGGTATTACACAAAAGCTCTCCCACTAAGCTCTATCCCTCAGCTATACCTTATTTCTTTGTATTTGTACAGTATGTGCTTGCCTGTGCACGAGGAGAAGGAGGAGAGGTCAACGTTGGATGTAATTCAGATCCTCTTGCTTGCACTAAACCATTTCCTCAGCTCTCTTGCCTTATTCTACGATTTGAACTAACTTTTTTGTCTTGAAACTAATCTCTGATTTTATAGTGAAAATTTACAGGACTCTATTCTGTTTTAAAGTTTTTTTTTTATTTTTATCTGTATGTTCCTGCAGGTAAATATATGTACCATGCATCTTCTTGCTATCTGTGGAAGTCATAAAAGTTCTTTGAATCTCCTGGATATGGAGTTGCAGATACATATGAGCCAACATGTGGGTTCTGGGAATTGAACCTGGGTCCTCTGCAGGAACAGAGTGTGCTCTTAACTCCCGAACCAACTTTTTATTCCCATTTGGTTAGCTTTGAAAAATAATTCATTTTATAAAACAAAGAATATTTTTGCTCAGAGGTTACAGAATTTTAGTGTATGTGGATAAGTAAAATTTAATTTTTATTATTTATGTTTGTATGTGTGTATGGTTATGTGTGTGTGTGTTCCCGTGTCCATGCACATGCATGTCATAGCACATGTGGAAGCAGAGGACAGTTTTCAGAGGTCAGCTCTACTTTTTATAGTGTGTTTTGGAGCTGGAACTCAGATTGCTATGCTTTGGCAAACACCTTTAGCTGTGAAGACATTCCACTGGTTTTCAAGAGTTAATTTTTAAAAGTTCATCAATTGTCTTTAACTATTGTTTGTAAAAACTTACTGTTTTAGAGGCCTGGCTTTTGTCAAATAGAAGCATAGAGAGTGGCCAAAACACGGTCATGAAGTGTGTGATTTTCATACTGAAGGCCTAAGAGAAAAGAGAATAATTTCGTTTTAAGAGATAAACTTTAGAGGTTGATGACATACTGATTTCCTTTTTCCCCTTTACATATATTTTTCTTTTAAAATACAGAAAATATGAAGCAATCACATTGCCTTTCATTATCCTGTATACTAACTAACCTTAACAAACTGAACAGTCCCTGTGGACACCAAGACTCAGTAGTTTTCTAGGATGTGTTATTAGCTTCAGAGCTAACAAAAAGAAAAAAAAACCCTTATAAATAATTTAAATACTTGTGCTAAAGATTTTCAGTATATATGTAGATAAAAAAGCCCAGAGGAATATATATTTGCAATTATGTGCAAACCTAAGTATATATTTAAATTGATGCTTTTTGATAATTCAATTTGGGGTGTTGTATTGATATTGTAGATTGATTTGTAATGGTGGAAGATAAAAATTACTGTTTCTTTCAAGTATTCACTACTGTAACCTCCAGTACATTGGCTGTTCATTTCTAACAAATACTTAGTGAATTTTACCAGATGAATTTTCAAGGTTTATAATGTCATGATCATATGTAAATTATTGTTACTGAACCATGTAGCATGATTACTCTTTCCATTTTAGACTTTTTTGTTTTGCTAAACTGAGCTTTTTAAAATGTGTTTATTTTTTCAAGTTTTTTTTTTGTCATGAATTTATTCTCATGCTGTTCTATAGGAAATCTCTCAGTAAGTAGTGTGTACTAAATATTTCCCTGTCAACTACATGAAAAGCCTCTCCTGGAGCCTGTTGCTGTGCTGAGTCTAGACACACTGACCAGTGGATGATGCTTCCACTGTTCATGTCTGACTTTCATGTACAGATTCTCCATAGTCTTTATTACAGATTCCTGGCTTTAAGAATTATTTGCCTTGTTTTATTGTTTCGTTTTTTTTTGGTAGGGCATCATAACTTCCAAGGACCACAGGAAGGACGTTTTTGCTGTTTTTAACCTTGAGTAATTTTGGCTAGAAATTGAATTCTAGTTGGGAAATAATTTTGCCTCAAAATACTGATGGCCATTGTTCTACTGTTTTAAGTTTCAGTACTTACGTTTTTCTCAGTCTTTGTCATCTTGTCTACCTTGCCTCTCCCTAGTCCTCAAAGTACTAAAGTCAGTATTTTCAGATTCATGATCCTGTGCCTTTTAAAGTTTGATTTCATCAGTCAGATGGATAACTGGTTCCCTTCCAATCTGGAAGTTATACCACTCAGTTCTGAGAAAATTCATTTCTAAATTATTCCATTGATTGATAATACTAATTGTAGAACTGCCTAAATTGAGTATTGTCCCATCTAGAATAACCTTCATTTTTCAGATCCTCATTTTCCTGTGTATATTGTAGTTTGCTCTACTTTTTGGAGACAATCTCAACTTTATCTTTCAAGTTTTTTTTTCATATATTCTTTAGATTCTAGACCTTTTTTATTCTTTTATTTTTTTTCAGTAGATCCTGCTGCATTGATATATTTTCTTCTTCCTTCCTCCCTCCCACTCTTCATTTTTTTCATTCTTGTGTTTTTGTTTGTTGAGACAGGTTTTTTTTATGTGTCATACTGGCTGTCCTGGAACTAACTATGTAGACCAGGCTGGCGTCAAACTCACAAAGATTTGCTTGCCTCTACTTCCCAAGTGCTGGAATTAAAGGCCTTTGTGCTTGTTTCGTTTTTCTTTCCTCCTCCTCCTCCTCCTCCTCCTCCTCCTCCTCCTCCTCCTTCTTCTTTTCTTCTTCTTCTTCTTCTTCTTCTTCTTCTTCTTCTTCTTCTTCTTCTTCTTCTTCTTCTTCTTCTTCTTCTTCTTCTTTTCTTCTTCTTCTTCTTCTTAATAGCTTTTGTGTCCCCAGTTTTTTTTTTCCAGCTATGGAAGCTTTCTTCATGAATGTTATTATTTTGTTTGGGGGTAAAGTGTGAAACTAAGTGCCTGACAGAAAACTGTGTGTTTGCATTATTGACTTTAGACATTCATCTTTCATGCTAGTTGTATTTCACAAAAATCTAAATTACTTCCTATACATAGAAGGCCTTGTAGGAATCATTTCAAGAACAGAGTGGTAAAAGGTGATTTAATATTATTATTTGGTGTATCAGATATAGCTTCATCTAAGCATTGTTTCTCTTTTCGCTTGGGCCTAGTATCCAAATTTCTCCACAGAAAAAGCAAGTTCTTAGCTTCCATAAAGAAGGAACATCACATGTCAGAGCAGAGATATGGAGGACTTTGTGCCTCCTCCTGTTTCCAGAATAGCTGATAATGGTAATTTCTGAACAATTTAAGTTCCTGTAATAGAAATCAAGTGGTTTTTCTGTTTTTTTTTCCCATTGTTAATATGGGAAAAACTTGCTTTTTCAGTTACCACTTAACTTTCAGACTTGTAAATCTTACTATTGTTACTTCCTCGTTCATTCTCTGCTCTTGTGAGTTTATATTCCCCCTCACCTTTAACTTTTATTGTGGTCAGGTTTTGAATAGAAGCCAAAGTTAATAGGTGTATTCGACATGCTGCTCAAAGTAGAAATTGCCCCTTATTGAAAAGTAATATTCTTAGTATTTATTTTCTATTTCATCGTTTATTCATGATGATGTTTCATATTCTCTGTCTACCTGTTTTCTCAAAGTCGTCACGTGTTTGAAAGGATATAATTATTTCCTGTCATTTTTAGAGGTCTTCTAATATTTAATCACTTGTACCTTTCTAAGCAGTTGTTATACTTATTTAAGATTTTTAAAGAGAAGATTATTAAATCCAAGCAAGAAGGAAAAGCCAAGTAGAGTAAGATTCTTTTCGAGTTACTGAAGCCTGTTTGTTCTTTGGTGATAAGAATTTATTATTTTTCAGTGCTGGTATGTTCTTGTCCACTCGTTCATTGCTTTCAATTTGTTGATACGTTTAGCTTTATTTCTCTTCTTTTTGTCTTTTCATGTTTGCTATAAAAAGTTACTTGCCTCCTAGATTTTATGCAATATAAGTTTTATATAAAATACATTTTTATCACTCTTTTAGAGCCAGAATTTGAATTAAGCTACAATGTACTCCACATCATTGGCTATAAAAAGGGGATGCCTAGGTTATTTATGAAAGCTAGCTTACCTGTACTTAATGATCTCTAGGAACACTTGGGCAGCCTCTTTGGTACACTTAGTACTGATGTCCTCAGTGGTATGCACACATGAGTGAGGAGGGCTAAGTAATGGAGAAGTGCTAGTTTTTCAGCCATATGGGATAAGGATAGTTAAAGAAAGGAAGTAGGCTACACAAAATTAACTAATATCGGTGAAGAGTTGCTGTTGAACAGAAGCAAATAAGGGCCCAGGCTTTTAATCCCAGCTCTACAGAGGCAGGCGAACCTGTATGAGTTTGAGGTCACCTGATCCTCATGTGTTCCAGAACAGCCAGGAGTAAATAGAAAGACCCTGTCTCAATAAACAAAATACGGATGAAGAATAAAGTGGGGTCAAGGTAGAGCTGTGAGCCATTTAGGAGAAGGAGCTAGGGGGTCATGTTATATTTATCACTTAGTAATTGTTTTCTATAGTGTACTAAAGGAAATTACAAAGATTAGAAATATCGTTCTTAATGAATTGTGGAATTAAAAGCAGCATATAGTACAGGATCTCCTTTCAACCTATCTGCAGTGTTACTATGTTTAAAGTTGTAGCCCACGCTGTCTAAAGGTCTCTCCACACACGTGTGTGTTTTTAGCTAGGGGAGATCAACAGAGAATGAATGTTAAGATTGTGATGTCACACAAATCCCCAGACAAAAACATGTCTTTCAATGTTGATTTAAAAAGAAGTCAGAAAAAAGGGGGGGGGGCAGTTAAATAAGGCCATTTCTTTAGTTTTTTTTCTCAATTTGAAGGTTATTTTGAATTCTGTCTTTTGAAAGAATTAATAACATCAGGAAGAAATAGAGTTTCCACTAGCTGGTGTATGTATTTAAGAACCTTTACACAGGAAAACCAAATCTGAACACAAAGTGATGATACTGTTACAGAATTCATGTTCTTCTTATAGGAAGTTTCCAGTACAAGTTTAGGCATTTTGGCTTATTATGGGCAGTGAGATAAAAGTATGCTGTACAGATTCCTTAATGAACTTACTATTCCTTAAGTTTTTGAAGCTTTGTTTTCTTACAATATCTTCATATGATTCAAGCATTATGGTTTTGTAGAATATATGACTTTTGTAATTATTGTTACCATTAAGGCAATGCTCTTTCCAATTTTCTGTATTCAAAGCAAAGCCAGAAGCCCACTCACTCATGTTAATGCCTCAAAATATTATATTAACATATAGAAACTACAGAATAAAATCTTTTATGTAAAGAAAAAAAGTATGCTGTACATATTTTGATTTTGTTAAATAAAGTCCAGAAGTAATTTTGTCCTTCAATATTTTAGATATTTATACCACAATACAGTACATTTAAAGTGAGAGATTAACAATTAGCAGTTAACTTTGTTTCTTTTCTTAACTACTGTGTGATTTTTGAATTTTAAAAGTTAAATAATAAATAACTTACATTGGAAATTATTTTTGAAAGCTATTTAATAATAGTCACCCAACTTCAGAAGTTTCAGCTAGTAATTTTTTTTTAATCTTGTAAATTTGTTTTAAGGTTAAAATTTCTTTAGATTAACATTTAAAATAACATTTAAAATAAAAAATTATTAAAAATTTGATTAAAGCTTTGTATATCACTATAACTTGATTTGTAGAGTGCTGTTGGCCACTTCCTAGGTTTATACTATTTCTGCAGTAGACAGTGTGAAAATATGATCATGTTAGTCACTAAAGGCAAGAATTGCTCTGCAGATTTAACCAACTGAATTTCTTTAGTTCAGCAACAACAACCAGACCTTAAGTATATAGGATCTTACCTTTCCTTTGTCTTTTTTGTATCTGAGACGGGTGTGCTCAAGACATCTATTCTGGTTCTTCTACGCCATCAGAAAAGCCTGTGTCACATGATCACGTTTCACTTTGTCTTAACCTTTGTACCCAGTGAACAGGTGATTAAGAAGCTGGTATTCCTTAGCAAAAGATTGACTAGAATTTCTTAAAGACATCCTTGACTTTTTTAGTGTAACAAATAGCAGTTTGCTTAGTTTTTGTATTTTGTTCCAAAATTTTAATCAAAATATTAACAATTTTGTTTCATGACTTAAAGAGTATAATATTGAGAGTATTTTGAACCACGTTTCTAAAGCAGTGTGGGCAAAGCTATTTTATATTTTGTTAGATTCAAGCATACCACCAAGTTTTATATTCTACTGCCTCTCAACATTGTTGTTTGCTTATTTTTATGGCACCTTGCTTTTATTGTCACTTTACTGCCAGGTTACAGCAGGGGCAAAGTGCTCAAGCCATCTAGAAACCTGACAGCCATTGTATGCCCTCAGAAAATAATATGCGCCTTCCTTGTGATGCAATCTTAACCCTCTGTAAATGAAATACTGTACAATGTTAGCTTTCATCTCACTACAGTGGACAGCGGAAGAAACAGTGTTTGTTGAGTAATGAAATGTAGAATGAGTTTTTCCAAAAAGATAGCTCCTTGGTTGGTGTCTTGGTAAATTAAAAAAAAAAAAAGGTTAAAATAAATGACACTTTCTGCTTCAGATTTCTGTGAACTCATGTGCACTCACCTAAATTTTGGCAGTAGAAATCCCATTGTTACATTTTAAGGAAAAATATCAGTGCCTGTTCAACAGTGAGGCAAAAGTAAATTGGAATTCCCATTGTCTGTTACATTACCTTCATATTTTATTTGGTTATTCTGAGTTTGTAGGAAATGTTCTAAGTTTAGGTCCTTTTGCCAGTTGTAGGACATGAGTGTACAGAAGGTATCTGGATCTAATGGAGTTAGCTGTTAATTGATTAAAGACAGTACAAATTATTATCTATGAGTGAAGGCTGTAAATAATGATAGGTTAATCAGATTTTTGAAAACCAGTGAGAAATTCATGATCTGGGCACTAAAAATTTATGTTGATCAAACTTACTCTTTCGACTTTTCTTCCTTTTGTGACAAGTTCTCACTGTGCATTCCTGTCTGGCCCAGAATTCCCTATGTAGACCAGGCTGGTCCTGAACTCACAGAGATCTGCCTGCCTCTGCTGCTTAAACTGGGGATTAAAGGCCACCATACCTAACAAATAAATGCTGTCAGCTTTATTTAATGAAATGACTCTTGGTAGGTCAACCATACTCTAGAAGGACTGGCTCCACTCCCAAAAGAATTGCACAGTACAAACTACCTTGGGCTGGGGGCAGGAGAGAGAACTCAGAAGTTGGGGAGAAGGAGCTATGTGAGAGTAGAGAGGGCAGATACGGGAGAAATAGTGTAGGGATCAAAATACTGTATATGATCCTCAAAGAATTAATAAAAATACTATTTTTTAAAAAGGAACTTTCTGTAACCTATTAGTAATTGACTGTGTAGAAAATAAGATACAGGGTATACTAGTATTTCTTGTGATTATATTATTGCATTATTAGGGTGGCTATTATTAAACAGTGGTTATATTTTTCAGGAAATTAATGTATTATGGTGCCAAATATGCTTGTTAAATACCCATTTGTCTTAGGATTTTTATTGTTGTGAAGAGACACCATGACCATGGCAACTTTTAAAAGAAAACATTTAATTGGGATGGCTCACTTACAGTTTCAGAAGTTCAGTTCATTATCATCATGATG